AAATGTTATTCCTTCATTATTGAAGCAAGCCAACATGAACTTGCCATCCAAAGCACTTATACTATGGTATTACTTCGTTTAAATTATAATTACCGCGAAGCAGATCTTTTGCTAAACAAAAAAATAAACGCTTGACTGTTAATCTTACACAAAAATTAATTAATTGCTTAGTTTAACGTTGAAATTTATGTTCTGTGAGACTTTTTAATGTCTCAACTAAACCTTGATGGCATGTAGTTCATCAATATGTATAAAACAACAGTGAACAACAACTAACTGTAATTTCTCCCACTAATTCAACTTGCTTTGGTGTTTTTATGCCTTTAGCATGTTTTATATAAGTACCATATTCTAATATAGCTGTATTCCTTCAATTTTATAGTTGGTTTGTTCTAAGAAAACAGATGACGTGCTTCGCAGAAATTTCCACTCATATTTGCAGCCTAGTTGCTATGCTAGTGTCTTGTGTTATGAAGTGATGAGTTATGAAAAAGCAAAAACGAATTTACAGGGACAAACCAGATGTTAAAAGTTACGAATATAATGCGATGACAGTTAAATATGGGTTATTAAGAAGAGAAGTGACCTGAAGACAAAAGTTATATGCGAAAAATAAATGACTAATAACCATTACTTGAATAAATAAAAATATGTAACTAGGACAGTTATATGTGTTTGAAATCCTTAGTTTACTGTTCAGGATAAAAATCATGTTTAGACGATGGTTTGACAAGTTGTTTTTGACCTTAGCAAATTTCAGTCGAATGTGTATGGAGATAAGAGAAAGGCTATGCGGTTAAGTTGCCCACAAAGGAAGAAACATATAGAAAAATGATAAACAAGATGACTTTACATGTACTGAAATAAAAAAAAACATCTGTAAGTTTCAGAAAGGTATTCACAAAGCTATCTCTGTAAGATAATACTTTGTGTTCGTCATAACAAGTTTTGTTACTTATTCAAACGACATAAGAAAGGAAATTTTCTCGTCAGCGGGTTCATTTATTATGTCATTTATTAAGTGCAACTCAAGTTCTTAAGAATTTTACCTAGACATAAATAGACTGGTCCCAAAAACAAAATGTTGATTAGTTTTCATTCCAATTAAGCCATTCAGAAGATCTATAGAAGTCCTAGGATTTCTGCAGTAGTGTCTCAAGAATGTACGAAACGTTATTTGGCATGTGATTGTAAACGTGCTTCCTGATACTAGTAATGAAATGTGAAACCTCCTTCTAAGCCTCTTCACACTCAGTCATTTAACATTGTGAATTTAGACGACGTCACTAAATAAACATTGAAAGAATCAGATAATTTATAAATTTACATATTGAAATGTTCACTATATTGCGACGCTGAACGTATTTATATTGTTTATTGAATTGATTGTAGTTTGTGAATTTTTCAATAAGATATGAAAATAGTTTACTGAGTCGACTTATTTGTGAGACTAACATGTGATCTTGCGGAATAAGCAGACGTATCAGTGTCATGAGACGATCAATTAATCAATTCCGTAATCTTTAAGTAGACTAAATAGTTATTATGTTTAGTCTAGACAGATGTGTAACTATCCACAATAATTTAACTCTGAAAAGTTGATTATTATAACGATATTAATGCATCCTGATGTGTGGTTTTGACCAGATCTACATACAGAAGATTCAGACTTAGACAGAAAATATGCTTTAGTGATTAAATTTGACTATCATTTTCCCAAACAGACATTTAGTGAAGATTATTTTATTCTCTATCTTGTTTAAAGTTTCTGAATATTGTACCATTAGTTCCATTGTCTCTTACGTTTCGAGAAATGCATCACATTGCTTAACATCACTTTTTCCAAAGAGATTAGGATATTTTTCTAAGGTATACCCAGAGTAACAGCATATTTTGCTTCGAGAAAATATTTAGAACGAGTAGTTTATTTTCTATTTTCCCACTGGTTTTAAAGTGGGATTACTGAGGCATAAATTTTTTTTAAACAGTAAATCCTAGACTAGTCGTTTCTACCTTATCTAAGTTATTCAGATAAACAAACTGAATGAATTCTAAAAAACAAGGAGAAAAGTAACCCTCAGATAATTTACATGTACGTGGATCATATATAGAAACAATTTAGGACGAAATTACACGTACAGTATAGATCAATCTCTACTTAAATAATAATATTTTAACAGATGTTTTGTTAGTATACACTCAGATTTTAAACAATTAGAGGTGCACATGTTTTAACACTTTTCAATTAGCTAATAACTTGACTAATTTCAGATGGACTTATAGCATCTGCATATCCAAACCTCTTTGCTTCAAGCTAAAATTTAATATTTTATCTTGTTTGTATTATTCCACTACGTAATATGAGTAAAATAAGAAAACTGTGTATCAAAATCTAGTGTTTTTGTCTATCGTAATTTGTTGTACATGTGTATTTTCATCTGCCCTATAAATATGCTGTTAAAACTGATAACAACTGATAACCTTTAGTAAACAAAATACATATCTCAGTGTAATCTTGACAAAATAGATACATTCTAAGGTAATAAGGATGATATATTTGACTTGTCACTTCAGCCACTATCTATACATTGTAGTGTATTATATTAATGAATTTGGTGTTAATGTCAATAAGACAAGTATTTTGAATAATCCAAATACTAGACGATTATTTCATAATTTATTTGTCCAATAGACTTAAGGTAGACTCATGTTAATTAATTGAAATCTATGTTAATGTTCAGTGATTACTGAGCACCACAAATATTATTTAAAACACTACGGGATAGAAGTACAAATAAAATTGTGTTTTGTATTATTCTCGATATTGCAGATTTCTCATGGTATTTTTAATACTTTTATACAGCTGCGATCGTTTCAGGATATCTCTTGTATATGTCAGATGCATTTAGACCTAGTGAGTATTGGAATTGAGTTGAAGGTGTGTACCATATTTCTCATCTTTTCAATAGGTGAAACTAACGATGAAGTGAAGTTTGGAGACAATCATCGTAATCTATATTAGCAGTCTAGCAGCCTTGAAAATCTCAAAAGAAAGCCTAAGGGAATCTGAAGTTCTCACGCTTTGCCAATGATGTCATTCTATCAACTAAATCTCTGAGCAGCTGATGTTTTCCACTCTAAAACTGAAACATCTGCTAACAGACCAACTGGGTAGGGAGATGTAAGAGTCGGCATTCTGAGGAAAAGGTTCATGTATGTATCTTGAGTAAATAACTTAATAAATTTGCAGTCATTACAAGGAAAAAATCTCTTTCTTTTAATGTTATATGAACAGAATGAAAGTGCTCGCTTTCATAGGCTACCATAGTATTATACGAAACATTTTTCACCTAGTGATAAGGAAGATAATTTTTAAGTATGCTACAGTTTATTTGGCGTTGACACCTCGATCTCTAAATTCTAATAAAATATAGAGAAATTCATTCAATAACAATTATAAACAAGTTATGTAAATCTGACAGGTGTTATAAGTAGGCTTCAGCACCATGAGAAAGTTATGCGGGAAAAGTCGTAACTAAATAACATTCTCCATGTTACAAAAAAGCTGATTTGTTTCTTTTAAAAGATAAAAATATTTGGTCGCCATTAATTTTTTTGTATCGTACAGTTATTTGTTAAAATAATATTTCTGTCTTCACTAAGAACTAATCTTGGATGTTAGCAAGCATACTAGGCATTGTTGCTTGTGACAGAGGCTTTTTAAATATTTACAAGAGATGTTTAAAATTATAACTAACACTCTGCTTTGCATGTACTTGAGGTAGATTCGTTTTGTTTCATAATTTGATCGTTTTCACTTGGTGGACAGGATAACCTTACTGGATAGTCACATATTCCGTATGGCTGATCAAGAAGAGTTAATTCTGTGAACTACTGCATAGATCACGAACATTATTCTTAAACAGATGAAACCCATTAATGTTTTTAGTACCACTATCATGCGCATATTATTCTAATTTGTCACTCTATGGATATTAGAACAAGACATATAAGCTAGGATATATCCAAAATACGCTGGTCCAAATGGGTTATCCTAGTAGATTTGTTAGGAGACACATGAATACCAGGTACAACAAAGAAAAACTGACAACAGTTAAAAAGAAAGAACTGTTCATGAAACTTCAATTTAATGGGGACGTGGCTAGTGAAGTCTTACATCTGAGATTATCGAGAGCGATAAAACGGACTTATACTGCCGCCACCCTTTGTTTGTCACTTTCCAGCAGACCAATTTTGATTGCTCAAGTGAAAGATAAGCTACCTAGCTGTGCCACATCTATGTGTATCTATAAATTTAGTTGCTCCTGTGGAGAAAGCTATATAGGGCGAACAACTAGACAGCTTAAAAAACGCATTAATGAGCATCTCCCTTCATGGTTCGGAAAAGGTCAAATAAAATCCATACGAAGTTCTATTTTGGCTCATTTGATTGATAGCGGTCACCAGGTGGACACAAATAGTGCTTTCAAAGTTATCTATCGTATTCCATCGAGTTTTTCGAATGGAATCAGAACCCGTCTTTTACACCTAGCCGAAGCTATGAGAATTCGAGAGAACAGTCCTAGTCTTTGCATACAAAAGAAGTTTGTTCTACCTTTGTCTCTCCCTTGGCCTAGGTGAATTCTATTCAAAACCCTCCCAACCTTTCTTATTTTCCATCTCCTTCGCACTTTTATAATATTTATTTAAACTAAAAGCACTCCAAGACATAAAAGCAGACAAATCCATCGTCATTACTCAAGCAGACAAAGGAAACACAACAGTAATACTTAACAAAACGACATATAATGAAAAGATGAATGAACATCTACAATCTGGACCCTATACCCTAATGACGCAGTCAGCTAAAACAATCACGAACAAAACAATGAAAGAAACAGCAAAGGTAGTCAGACAAATGAAAGAAGTAATTGGTAAGTCAAAATGGTTTGAAATTATGCCAAAATCATGCAATATACCTAGAATATATGGCAAGATAAAATTGCATAAAGAGGGATATCCAATAAGACCGATTGTAGACTTTAGAAACACACCGACGTATATGCTATCAAGATTTCTCTCGACAATACTAAGACCAACAAGAGACAACTCGAAAGCTAGAATAATAGATTCATTTGAATTAGTGAAGCGACTAAAAACCACTAAAATAGAGGAAGATGAAATACTAGTCAGCTTTGACGTAAACAGTCTCTATACGAAAATACCCATTCAAATGGCCATGAGTGCACTGAAAACGAAACTAAAAGAAGATAATGGCCTAAAAGACAGAACACAGTTATCCGTAGAAGAGATAATAAAGGGGTGGAATTCTGTCTGACAACAACATATTTCACATTCGAAGAGAAAATATACCAACAAAATGAAGGAGTAGCCATGGGATCACCCATCTCACCAATAATAGCTGACATATTCATGGATTATTGGGAAGAGAATGCCCTTAAACCATTCAGGTCATCACTAAAATGTTGGTGGAGATATGTAGACGACACACTAGTAATAGTCAAAAAACGATATTGAGCAACTCTTTTCACACATAAACAGCCATGTAGACTCAATAAAATTCACTATGGAAGTAGAGAATGAAATTGGGGAACTACCTATGTTAGACTGCAAAATACAAAGAATAACAGATGGCAGCATTAAGACGACGCTATATAGAAAAGCCACACACTCTGGAAGATTCCTTGATTATCACTCAGCTCATCCACTCACGGTGAAACGAGGACTAATACAAGGTCTTGCAGATAGAATACGTAGACTTACAACAACGCCAGAGGACCAGTGTAAAGAAATAAACGTCCTATTCAAAATGCTACTCGAAAACAACTACCCAAAAATTTATAAAAGACAATATAAAAAAGAAAAAAAAGAGGGTAAAACCGGAGAACAACAAGATGGAAGAATGCAAAAAAACAGTCACAATACCATATAAAAATGGTACATCAGAGGCAATTCAAAGAAACCTCAAAAATATCGGCATTCACACAACTTTTAAACCGACAAATCTAATCAAAAATAAAATAAATCAACTGAAAGATCCCATAAAAATTATGGATAAAAACAACTTGATTTACAAAATATCTTGTGCTGACTGTCCGACTAGATCACTCAAAATAAGAGTAAATGAACATAAACGCCTAACCAAAGGTCAACCAACAGGAACACAAGCCTACAAGAATCTTGAAAAATATTCGTCGATAGCTACACATGCATGGGAAAAAAACCACAATATCGATTGGGACAATGTGTGTATTCTAAAAACTAACATGAACAAATGGAAAGAAAGACTTATAACAGAATCGATATTCATTAAGGTCACACCGGATACATGTAACAAGGGTGACTCAGTACAACTACCAACAACTTGGAATATAATTCTGGATACAAAAATATGAACTAACGTGGAATATAACTCAAATACAAAAAATACATGAATGAGCAAAAATAATGAACTCGTAAAATATATATATGAGTACAAATCATAAATGTGTGAATCAAAGAATTCCAACAGTGGTGTGAACACGGGCAGTAATTTTGCTCGAAATATTACCAATAACAAAACTTATCATTGTGTGTAAACTATTGAAATATAATTATACTTTATTTGATCTAATCCACAGTGCTCAAACTTTTTACTGATATTATTTAAACGATGCATAAACTGATGCATAGGAAATCCTTATTAATAAATAAAAATGGATATGTATCACTAATTATTAATACTTGGTCAAAATTCTCGACTGTCCATATCTTCTTATGGAAACGTTAAGAAATGTTTTACAACTGTTTACCCACACACACACATACACACACTCTGTTTAAAGTGTTTAACAAAGGTAGACCAATATTTGTAAGTCCGAGGTCAAATTTCGATCACAGCTCATAAACTTTTGTTTATTATACTTGTTGATACTTTTTGAATGACTCATGATTGGACAAATTTTCAAAAACAAGTGATGTTCTTTTTTATATATAAACCTATGTTATGTTAATTTCGATTAATTTCCCTGAAGAAGTTCGGACCAGATTGCCGAACGAAACGTTGGAATTACTCATTTCAATCTCGCTGAGACTTTACAAATATAATTTTTTACAAATGTCTACTTCTCACTCGGCGCCCAAATATTTTAGAACTATTCTGTCAAATCTTGACGACAGTTCATTTGAAATATTTAAACTCTGATTATCGTTCCACTTCACCTTTTAAGATTTGACCTAATTTATTTATACACTTATATACATATACTATCTTTGTTATTCTTATCACCTGCATAAACCTTATTATCAATATTTTGTTATCATTATAGTCATAGTTATTAATTTCGTTCAAAACATTTACCACATTATTATTATTATTAAGATTATTATTTGACTCCATGGATAATTTTGTTTTTACGGATGGGAAAACTCGTCATAGTGAGTAATACATTTGAAATACAGCAATGATATGTACATATAGAACTAAATGTAAGAAAGAAACTCAGCCTGATGTATTCCTTTGCATATTGATGATGCTTCTAAAATGACTGTCGCCTAAAGTAATATTAGCTTTGTTTTTCAAATTATTTTTGAAGAGAACCAGATACAATCTACTGATATTATCTGTAAAGTGAATATTTCGCTTTCATCAATTCTAAAAACCTTTGAATTACAACAGACTTATTTTTGACGACACCGCATAAATAGCTTATGAACGAAATCCATTACTATGGTACTGACTAGTACATACACGAATCTAGAAGCGAATATGATATATCCGTTAGATTTCAACCAACAACAAAAAATTAGCAGTCGTATACAAAAAGTTAATGTAATACTTTTATCTCAAATTTTTGCAAGGACCACACTTTGTGAATACCATTTTTCTATCCCTTGGATTCCAAATGGAACACAGAGCTTCAGGTCTTTTTCAGGGTTTAGCAGAAGCTGTTCTGTTTTTATAAAGTGGGGTTGATAGCCTCATGACCAACCTTCCCCCTTTTCTGGGTTTACCAGTGGCTCATAAACTAGGCGGTTTATGAGTCCGTCTCGAGTATTCTATCACTGGACCACTGTAGCACTTATAGCAAAACCATAACTTTGTTGAATATCAAATAAAGTATAATTATATTTTAATAGTTTACACACAATGATAAGTTTTGTTATTGGTAATATTTCGAGCAAAATTACTGCCCGTGTTCACACCACTGTTGGAATTGATTTGTTGAATATGTTTAATTAAACTGTCACTCATACTGTCTCCTCAAAACATGTTATGCTCCGTTGCCACATTAAGCTAAGCAAAAATAAGGGATATGATTGTGAATATATTTCAAACATTCAAGACTGAATAATTCCACAGTGATTATCAGAATTAACAGAAATAATAGTGGAGACAACTACCGTTATCCCTTCCAGACATTCCTGTGAGTAAGAAACTAAGTAGGTTAACTAGGAATATCACTCACCGCTTTCACAGTGGCTAACACCATCACCTCTGTAACCAGGTAAGCATTGACAGAAGGCTTGATTTGGATCAATACAACGAGCCTGACTATGACAGTTGACTGCACCACACTGTACACCAAGATAATCGTGAACTAAAAAGAGAATGTAGATGTAAGCATAGCGGTTGAATGCATACGTATAATAATAAATATAACTAAATTTGAAATTATCGCAGAAAAATTCAAGTTTGTAGAGGGAATTTAATAAGAAGTTTGTCTCGAATTCATTATCTGCGATCAATTTCTTAAGGTTGCACATTTCTTAGTCTTATATGTTTCATATAAATGTCTGAAATGGTCATCTAAACAGAGTAATGTGTGATGGATTTAATGACTGGATATTCCACATAAATAATGACTAGTTATTCGTCAATAATTAAAAAAATATTTCATTCCCAGCACGTCACAAATGAGGAAGATTTTGTTTGTTCAAATAACATTCCTCACTGCATCTCAATGTTTCACCTTCTCTACACAACCTGTTACTTATCGAAATGTCATAACAATATTCCACCGTTGTTAGTTTCCTTATTCATGTGTCAGTTCACTTTATGCTGTGGAGCTAAGCGCACATACCATACCATCAGGACGTGCACAAGAATACCTCCCAGTATGGTTGACGAAATCAGAAGTTAAACGAATTAATAGCTCAACTTTTGAGCAGTCTATTCTGTCATTCTGCATCAGTAGAGAAATCTTTCGAAGTGATACATATGGTAAGACCAAGTAGTTTGAATGGTTTCCGACCACATCTTCCGTTCGCAACTGAAAATCCTGCTATACACAAGGAAAACCCCAAAATGTCTACATAGAAGTGGCTTGTCCATATTCACCGGTTTTTTTCTTTCTTTCTAAAATTTTAACTTTAAAATATGCTTAATTCATATTCTGAATTTATTACTTTTATAAGCAATGTCCCCGTTTCCAAACGCTTATATTTTTAATGATAATCATCTATGAACAATAATCACCACTTGATGTCCTAAGATTGCGTAGAGCTAGCTGACCAACTTTCGGAGTTTATTCATTCCTTTCCTAACATGCAGTTTTACATGTTCCGTTGCCAAATAATGTTAACAAATGACCTTTATAGGCATTTCCATAACCTTTAAAAACAATATATAACTCTACAACTTTGAAGAGGAGTTGCGATCATAATATTATTTTTTGACTTGTCTTTTCAATTGATATAACATGGGTACTTTTCATACCTTAAACTATTCGACTTATTACTTTTGCATGTTTGTATACTGACTCAACTAATCCGTAGCAAAATTTCAATTTGGACTTTACTCTTTGACTTCAACTTTTCTACTATAAAATCTGTTAGTGGTGATATTATCCAGTCAATGAAAATATTTTAATACCACCTGATACAGTTTTCAAGTTCTAGGGTATGGCTGTAAATCATAGAATAGTTTCATTTGATAGAGAAACACAGCGACATAATATTATTTACTGATGATGTGATATGATTATGAGGAATAAATTGTGCTCGAAATATAATCAGTAGATGGAACTGCATCACTCTGTTATTTTTAACAAGCAAAATTATTTTGTGATTGGATTATTTTTTATGATATTGCCCGAATTCTGTTTTTGGTCGTGTAGTTGCAGATGTTTTAAAAATTCAGACGCTATGAATTAATGTGTATTGTATAATATTTGACATTCAATGGAGATTATATCAATTCAGTAAATCTTAGTTATCAGATGTATCTTCCATTAATGTAGCATCTGTTAATAGACATCAATATGACTTTTACTTTTAACAGATCAGACTAGATTTTAACTGATATACATAATAAATCATTGTAGGATAACATAAGCTAACAACTATTACAGTAATACCTGTCACTTTCACTTTAATGCAAATACCAGACAACAATTAAGTTTATTAAGGAAGTAATATTTCTGTCAATAAGACTGACTTAAACAATTTATTGGCTGGCAAATCAATTGGAGTTTTTATTTAAAACGATTAGTTCCCTTTATGAATTTAGTTAGACAAAGCAATAAGAAGACGTAATTTGTCTGAATCGTGTGATGTATTTGCGCAACACATTTTGAGCAATCTGATCACACACGAAATTGTCATAGAAGTATGTATAATAATAAAGAGCTAAGAGGTGGGAAATAGACTTAGGTCAAGTTAAAAGGACATATTGAAGGTCAGAATAACAATGCAGATCATTAAACCGACTAACAGAGGTAATGGTACATCTACCTTGGCTGGTATGAAAACAGAGTTTTCCAAGGAAGGTGGTTTAGTGTGATGACGAATTGTTGCTTTGATCGCATAAAGGTGGTTTAAACTTCCTATTTGCTACCTAGGTCTTCTATGAGTTGATCGCGCATTGATATCAGTTAGAGAACCATTGAAAACCAAGGAGTACTGGACAGCTGCTGTTTCATCCTAGTTTGGGAATCATCGGCAGTAAGCACCCACTGGGATTCGAACCCCGGACCTTCCGGTTACAAGGCAAGCTCGTATGCCATTCAGCCACTGGGACCCGATTCAATGGATTCCACAAACTTTAGGATACGCCCCAAGCAAAAAGTAAGGGCTCCAGAGCATATTTCTAAATGGCTCCAGAAGTAAATAGAATCTCCAGAACCCATTAATGGTGAGAACAGGAGACCTAGCTCCTCTATTGTGACATATATTATAGAGATAGGACATAAAATTGACATAAACACATCTTTTGAACCCCTATAAAACGTGTTTGGGGCGTATCCGAAAGTTTGTAGAAGGCCTAGCTGGCAATTAGGAAGCTTAAACCACCTTTATGCGTTCAAAGCAACAATTCGTGATCACACTAAGCCTTCCTTGGTAAATTTTGTTTTGATACCATAGCGGATGCACTATTACCTCTCTTATTTGTTCTGGTGGTCTTTATTGTTATTCTGACCTTCAATATGTCCTTTTAACTTGACCTAAGTCTATTTCCCACCTCTTAGCTCTTTATTATTATACATACTTCTATGACAATTTCGTGTGTGATCAGATTGCTCAAAATGTGTTGCGCAAATACATCACACGATTCAGACAAATTACGCCTTCTTATTGCTGCATCTAGATTTTTTATAATAAAACTTAACCTTTAACAAAAAAAACTGACCAGATTAAAGCCTGAGTGAATCGAATGAAATCATTTATTATTAGGGTTTTATCAGGTGTTGTCGAAAACGTTTGCTCACTACCAGAGTAAACCAATTTGCATACTCAATTACTCTGATTAATTTAAACAAAGTTAGAATGAATTTATGTGCCCTTGTCATCAAAACAAATAGGATCATCTGAGAGATGAATGGATTCTAGATTTTCTAAGCGTATCCCCAACAGTCTTCGTATGGAAGGTATAAAGGAGTTTGCAAGTGAAGTCACTAACTGACACAACAACGCAATGACAACAGATGGATCAAGGTGAAAGGGGTCGATTTAATCCGTCCACATGTTTGATACTACATAAATTTAATTAACAGTATTTCTGAGCATATTTCATTTGGTTAGTAGCATTTTCAAGTCATCAGTAAATATTACTGTATAACACTGTGTTTTTATCAAAATAAATTTTATCCATAATAGCATCACTTTTGTTTTGTTTAGACAAAGTGGGTCACAATCTCCTTGACATCTTTTGTCACTAAAAAGTGATTTTCGAAGAACGGTCTCACAACAGAATCTTACATAGTAATAGGTGGATGCCCCTCATTTGTATTAGTTTGTATACTTTTCTATTCTCTTTTTTTTCATAACACGATATTCCAAATAGTGTTTAAGTTATTCAATGAAGTGCACTATCGGCAAACTAAGATCACATCGTGTCATGAACATTGCCATGAAAGTTACTGTTTTAAACTGGAAGTTTATAGGCTGATATAAGTTTTATGCCCCAAAATCGGTATGGACCTGAATAAGTTTGATAAGGATTATATTACCTCCTTTTTAGTATACGGCATCAGAGTATATGATTCACACTAAATTACAATATTCTCGATAGTTTCTTAAAATATTTTTTCGATTTCACCTTTTGAAGCATAAACTACATCACATTGGATAAGAAAGCTATGTGGTTAACACGACATTATAACTGAATCATTAGAATCGACTGGATTATTCAGCATGGAGGCCACAATAAAACCGAAAATATATTTTCTGTCTCATTTTAAAATTTGCTACATTCTGTTGCATTGAGCGGAGTCATTACATTGTCATTCACAAATCGTTTTATTCCTTACACTCAAAGCGTTTTGTCTCACCCATTTTTAACTCTGTTTTCATTTCATATTTATGTTGACAAGAAGTTTTTAGCAATTTACTTCTAGTAAACTGTAGATTTGATGGATTTATATAGTGAGTGCTGAAAATTATTTATTAAGTATTTGGTCAGTAGTTTCAGACAGTGTGCGGTAACAGGGTTTAAAAACGAGTTTGTTTTTAAGTGACTAAACGACATGATTAACGAAAACAGGTTCTCATTTCCAATTTGTGATGACCGATATCTAATCCAGATCGGATTGTAACTGAGCATCGTTCACAAAAATACCAACATAGCAAAAATGTATAGTACTAAATTTCTTATTCCTATGAGTTCAGCCGGTTAGGTCACACCATCTAGCTGAATATGATGAACATGCTAAAAATAAAGAGTAAGATTTTTCTTTTTCCTCTAAAGAAGCAAACGAAAGCATTCTTGTCAGAGTACAAAACTACTTATAAGTGTATTCGATTTCTTACACAATGTTCAAAGCCTTTATGGGAATTACTGGTTAAAAGTATGAAAGGGAAAGTAACTTATTTGGAAAATATAATCTACTGTAAGAGTTTAAAATATGCAAGTTAATAATTTACTTACCGTCTTCTACTGAAGCCGCTTTAGGACCACAATCATAAATTGACGAGATTAGGAATAAAAAATATAAAAAAAGGAAAAACGACTATGAGAGACATTGAAAATTCCATTGGTACATGGAGTAGAATGAATGCGGTCAATGATTTATTTCGAAATTGCCTTTTATTTTTATCTGTAAGAACTTCTGATAGACTTTCTAGGTGTAAAATATTTGGAAACCTATATACTGAGATTGAAAAATTGGCATTTTATATATTTTTGGTATTTACTGGGATCACGGCTTTTTCAAAAAATTATAGTCTGATAGGTGATTAGTATTATCAGTAAGGAAAATGAAATATTAAGACAAGAGAGAGTGGCATTTTCTTGAAAATAATAAATGTATGAAACATGTAAGCGATTTATATGATTGACGAGTAAATACTGTCTAGGATGAGCTAATTGGTGCTAGTCAGCAAGTATTCTGAATCTATAATCTCTTAAAAACTTTTGACTACATATTTAAGCTTAATGTTACACTATCGCTTGTGATGAACTACTCATGTTCTTCTTGATTATTTTTAGCTGTTCACGTCAATCACTAGCAACTTTAGCTGATAAACTTTAGGGGAATGGTATGATAAATCCTAGATACTCTGTTTGCATCAATAAAATGTACCATTCCAATGAAAGGAATATTTGTTTCATCGATCAGTATTAAGGAGTGACGAATATCATGTTTCTAGTCGTTTGTGTCCATTGTGACTAAATTTTGTCGGTCATGTTCGCAAAGTTACCACCAAATCAGATGAGTGGCCATCTGTGGTGCAATCTGAATTGATGTCTACTGGTTGGGAGTGATAGTTGGAGAGCACTGGACTTCGGTTTTTTATTTCTGACACTTTTCAGCAAGGCATAGATGCAAGGTTTATTTTCAATCACTACTTGATTTCACTTCTTATTTCAATATTTGGTAATATTAAATCACAACCATAATCCTACATTTATCTGTTGATACTAACCGACTAGAATCGTTATTGCCGCTCACAAAGTACTGTTCTGTTTTTAGTAAAATGTATCAAAGTGTACAAAATAAGAATTATTATGCATTTATGACAATTTGGCTATGCAGTATAATATAACTACTTCTAGTTCGATCCATGGAACGCAAGTAGGTGCTATTTCGGTAATTTGGCTTACGGTGTAAAATGTAGCAAAAATATTATTAATTCTCACTACACTAAAAGATTATACCTTCTAAAAATCCTTTCACGAAAACAGCCTGGTAAAAGTAAAAGGAACACTTGAATATTTGTTTCTAATACTGCATATCACAACTTATAATGCGGTTTGTACTTTAAAGAGCTTTACATACGAACATGTAACTCACCTTGGCATGTGTTATCAGGCATCAGTCTCAAACCCTGACCACATTCACATCTATATGATGTACCTTCTGGGCGACATACTTCACCTTGACGATCACATGTTACACAGTCGCAAGGGGCTAAAGGAAAAATAATTATTAATTTTGGTGAGCAACTCATTTACTTCGTTCAGTTAGTGTATTCTTAATGGCAAGAAAAACAAATGCTTTCAGTTTTTATCAGAGTAGCTTGTAACTCATTCAAGCTTTCAAAGTCGGTAACAGCTTCTCTAGAGGAAACTGCCTGCTTTACACTAAGAGATCAGTTCTGTAGACATAATATTCAAAAAAGAGTGTAAAAAAGAAGCAGATAGGAGCATAATGAATGATACAGACTGACAACCTTGTGACCTTCAGGAAAACTCAACGATTTACTGAGTGAACTGGTTACAACTTGTCCCATCCCCTTCCTGCATAAGTTATAAGTGAATCTTTGACTTAGGTGTAAATTGTCGTATTACATGAAAAATTATTATTAAAAAATGGGTGGATACTGATGAAGAGTCCCAAACTATGACAAAACGGCTGTCCATTACTCCCAGGTTTTCCAGTGGTTCTCTAACAGATGCCAGCTCATAATGAAATCCTGTAACTAATCAGTTGAACCCCTACAATCTAATACTTGAATATATAAGTTTTGTCAGCTCAGTTATTTGTTGTTTTAATAAACGATCACAGTTTGTAGAAATAATACTGAATTCGTAGCTGAGCTAAAACATTTGACACTTCACTGTAGCTCTCTAGTTTAGGTGCTTGACTTTCATTTATTGGGTTAGTAGCTCTATCCCACCTTGTAGACAAACATTCGCTCAACCCAATAGTACCTTTAACCCTTGCATAATTGATGTGGTTCACCGGAAAATAAATATAGATGTGTGCTGAGTAACAAATATCTAAAATTCTGATTATTGAGGTTCTTGGTTTTCAAACGAAGGGTATTGCGAGCGATATTCCAGTGGTATTTCAAAGTAGTTGCTAACTAATGAATCGTTTTAAATGCAATGCCCAAATTCCCGTTATGCTTATTTTAATAATCCCAATTTGTTGTTGCTATGGTAATTATTATCGTGTGGTTAATCGAATATATATGAATATTTTCCCTTATTTTGTAAATTCTAATTACTTAATATATCATATACATTTATTAGTTTATTTCATTTCTTCGGTGTATTTATTTGTTTACATATATCTTCTGACTAAGCCAACACAAATTATCTTTTAACACTCTAAGAATTAACTTAATATTTTGATAAATCGTTTAACATTATTGTACATATCAAAAAACGGAGTGAATTTTGGACTCCGAAGGGGGTCTACATTTCTGGGTATCCACTTGTGTATATGTGCTTGTTGGTGTGTATAAAATCGATACTAGAATAATCATTCTATTTTTTTTCAACATGTTTAACGATAACCATCAGGTGATTCATTTATTTGATAGAAAGTAGTAGAAAATAATTACTGTTTGCTTTATTGTTATTTGTGTTCACTTTGTTTACCAAATGAATTCTGTATAGCTTCCAATTAATGCATAGAGGAGAGAAGGATACGAAATAAAGCCAGAAGCAGGCATTTTTTATAGCGGAATTTAAACCGATTACTGTGCTTTGTATAAGCAATCACTTTGTTAATGTGATCGAACTAATAGCTTATGAAATGTCGGTCAATGACTTATGATATATAGAAAATAGAGTTAATGGTTGCTTCCCTTGCATAAAATGCTTATTTTATTGGTACTGTTAATGTTTCAAGTGATGTATAACTGTTTATCAGGTAAATACTTTACAGTTTGAAAAAGTTTAGGCATTAAGCATTATAATAATAATTTAAATACCTGACTTGATTTTCTAAGTGTCTTTCCATTTTTTCTAAATTTAATTTTCTCGGGTAATAATTTAACTTTTAATTCTAAACATAAGTGAAAGTTTTTATCGGATACTATCTTGCAAACTTCATATGTTTAGTCTATAAATTTATAGTATTTGAGATAATGAAATTATGTAATTCGAAAAGTCAGCTCCCGCAATTAAAGATCACAACGCAGTTTTGTTAAATGACTAACCAAGCCACGCGATTCTATCGTTTTGTCAGGATTAATAGACAGAATTTCATAATATTTGAACTGTATATCGACGATATTGAGTTCCTCAGTCACAGGTTAAGAAAATTTTGCCACTAAGTTTTCCTTTCATTGAGTTTATTTTACAATTTATTTACTGATTACTGTTTCCAGAGTATCAGTTTAGTCAAGTGTTTGTCTCACTTATTTGAAAATTCCAAAAAACAAGAAAAATCTAGTCCCCAGTTGTTAACCTCAAAAGGTAAGGGCTCCACTAATTTAAAATGGAAAGGTTTATTGAAATTTTCAGTTTCAGTGTCTACTATCATCTAATTTCTTGTTTCGTACTATTTCACTGATCCATTCTATATCAGGTACTATTATTAGCATGTTAGGACATTCTAATTTGTGAAGTGAAAGTTTGTACATGGATTTATTAAGGTTTCTTTCTGGTGTTACTGTGTTACTTTTGCCGCATCCTGTTTAATTGGTATTTCAGCTGCTCGACATGATTCTTAGTTAAGCCGCAAATTATTATTACAGTATGAGTTGCTGTAGCAGTTCACCACAAAACAAAATGTGCAAAGATGTTTTGCAACCAAGTAATGGTTTTCTTTAAATATTATCATAACGTCGGGTAATCAATAAAAGTGATTTATCTTTTAGTAAATATGAGTCAGAAATCAAAGTTTTACTTCATAGCATAACATTTAATTATCATTACAGTACTGTGAGTAATTAACTGTTTGATGGTGAGACTATCTAGGGTTGCCTTGGAGAGACTACTAATGACTTAATGTATTACGATTAAATACAAAGTAAAAACATATACCCCAGCAGGATTCAGGCAAGAGATCTCAGGACTATCAGTCCTGATTTCACTCTCACCTTCAATAATCCCTCACCACATTAATAGTATTCTGCCAATCCAATGTTATTTCAAACAGTTTCGCCATTAACATCGGAACCCTCTTCTTTTATTCAATATGGTAAGGATTAACAGAAGACTAAAAATGGGCAGTTACTATTCGTTTATTCACGTGACGCCTGGTCATTATTCGTTAGGATTAAAATAAAATGATGACCTGTTTACCGGGTGAATCCCATAATTCAGCTGATAGAGCATCCAACCGGCAATCTCGAAGCCATCAGTTTGAATCATGTTGTATCCTGAATTTAAATTGTCTATTAAACCATCCTTATTTAGGTAAGGTTCTATGACTACGACTAAACGTAGAACCCAACATCATTTATACATCATTCTCATGTCACACTATCTTTTTGATTGTGGATTAGTGGTTTATTTATAGGTAAGTGGGAGCTGCTTTTAATATAACTTGCTAATCGGTATATAATAAAATATGCACAACAGAAATATGAAACTGTATTGTCAAAAGAAAATCTGAACATCCTTATTGTCATTTATACACTTGAAATTAAAATGGTATGGATAGGACGCTGTAGGTGGGAAAACAAATTTTTTCGCATTGATACTTACATGGTTCTGTGGCCATAAGTACTGGTTCATCTACACAAAACAGATTACATGTCCCATCTGATGCAGAACAATCTTCACTACAATAACCACGGTCTTTCAGGCGTATATAATACCACTTGTTTTTAGGCACAGGACTAAGAGGTTTCAGTAGACAACTTTCAGATTCAGCAACTGCAGACCATCGTACACTGATTTCTTCTGGGAAACTGCTCCCATCAGATGAATCACGGTTTTCAGCGACAAATTTTACAGTTTGTTCTGAGAATACAATGCGTCCACCCTCATCAATTCTGTAATCTGTATAGTAGGTTTTATCTGGTTTGTCTGAAGCGCTGTAAGCTTCTATGTAAGACCGATCTAGTAGATTTATTCCCTGTGCACTGAACGCCTCCAAATCCAATGCACCACTTGCGTATGAACTAGTCGAGAAATCACGCAGATCCACCGTTGCTTGAACAGTGAGATTGCCGACTGCATCAATATCAAACTGGAAAATTATTTTGAAAGGGCGCTGTAATCCATCTCCTAATGTAAAAAGGTTATAGACGCGTTCACTTTTCTGACTATTATCGCAAGGACTAGAAATCATTGAATTCAAAATATGGAACACTGGTGTTATTAGACGTATAGTTGCATACACCCGATCGTCATTACGACCTCCACGAATTCCACTAGAGCTACGTTTCAGAGAACCATGTTGACTGTCCAAATAGACAAGTAATGGTGAAGCATTATTTTCACTACCAAAGCGTGCTGATAGTGAGCCAGAAAATGAGAATTTGTGGTCATTAACTGAAATCAAAAAAATGAACAGAGCATAATAATGAAAGTTTAATCGTCTTTAAAACACTGATTAGTCGCAAATATTATGCAAAATTGTCATAAAATGCCATCTGTGTTTTTAGGAAGGCACATCTTTGCTCCGAAACACTCCTTCAGTAGTGTTCATTCTGCTTGTCAAAGAAGAAATTCATTGCTTAAATATTTAAGTCATTTACTATATCGAAAACTTAATTTGTAGCTGCTTGTTTATTTGTTCAACAGCTGTCACATTGGTTCAATGGTGCACATAAAGACGCTAATGTATTCTCTTTCTAATGTTAAAATAAACCGATCACTTGCGTGTTTTGAATAATTTTCCAATGACAATATAATTCCTGAACTGTATGACTGAATAAATCTGATAGTATAATACCATTTCCGCGGCATTACTTTCTTATTCACACTGTTTATTATGAAAATGTCGGCAGTTTGCAGAAGCATAAACTTCCTTCACTTTGCTCTCTCAAAGCCCCTATTCCCATAGATCGCATTGCAAACCGTCAGGTAAATCTACTAACAGAAAAAATGCACAACCATTCATCATTCGCAATAATCAGTTTGTGCTGTATTTAGGAAGCGAATGCCTTCTTTGTAGGCCTTACACTTTATTATAGGTAACTGGAACATTTAAGGAAGGTTGGGAGTAGGGCTGGTGGTCCTGACGAAGAAGATCAACCCAACTGCTACAGAAAGTTCAATGGACAAGGTTCATTTAATACTTACTAAATAATGTATACAGAAAATCAACAGTTTTCAGTCTTTGTCAACTTTACACCACTTGAATTATTGAAATTTACCTGGTTGTTAATGTTACTTTGTCTCAGATAATTAACTGGTGCAAACTTTATTTCCAGTGTTAATCATGTTACAAGCCGACAACATTTGGAGGATCGGTGCAAAGGAGGAAGCAGTGGTTAGACGTTTCATCCTAATTTGGTTTTCTTCAGTAGGAATCACCCATGACCCGCCAACGGATCAGTCCTAGAACCTTCAGGTTACAGGGTGAATATATTTTTTATTAGGTTTGCATAAATTTGAGGTTCATTTTCCCATACACAGAATTGCTTTTGTTACCTGAAGATTCAGTACTTACTGGTTTTCGATGTTTCCCTATATGATTTTGGTTCTCAGAGTAGCCCACACTGAAACTAATCATGATTCTCACAGAATCCAAAATCTAAACATTTCATTATTGTCAACCACACTAGTTATTTTTAGAGAAACCAGTAATATTTGTCTTTTACAATTAAAAGCGTTCTCTGAGCTGGTTGGTTTAATCGCGAAGCTTTCGTCGTCCTTCCGGACAACATCTTCAGCGCCATATTTATCACGAAGTGAAGTGATTAATTCTATGCATGATGTATTATTCTATTGACTAGGATTTTTTGGTCACCTGATTTACTTTTTATTAATTGGTATACTTCATCTATATTAACGTGTTTGTTAATCGCATTTTCGCTTGAGTACCAGGCCTCTAGAATTCTCTGGCACTTTGTGTTCTGTAATCCAAACAACCATCTGAAGAAACTCTAAATGATTGCGTAGTAAATCTATCAAAACAACCATTATCAAAAGCAGAAGAACAACTTCTTCAGAAAGGACTCAACTACAATACTGGTGACGCTTCAGTAGCAGATTTTTGTGCTTCCTTAGAATCATCACTCAAAGTATCAAAATTAAATGAGGAAGTACAACAAGAAGTACGTCAATGTATCATACCTATACTCAAACAGAAAAGACATAATTCCCAACTTAGCACTGAAGAGCAAAATGCATTGAAGAAACTGAAGAATAGAAAAGATATAGTTATTCTACCGGCTGATAAAGGAAGAACAACAGTAATCCTGGACACAGAAGACTACATAAAGAAAGCAGAGGATTTACTCAAAGATAATAATGTATATCAACAGTTGACAAAAAACCCTATACAAACATTAGATAACAAAATCAAAACAACGTTAAATAAACTAACGAAATCAGGACAAATTACAGAACAAGATCAATGGCGAATGAAATCTAACGGACCTATTTTACCTCGATTCTATGGTAGACCGAAACTACACAAACCAAATATTCCCTTACGACCAATCGTTTCGCTTCCAGGAACACCAACATATAATCTATCTAAAGAACTTTTCAGGAAATTAAATTACCTAACAGAATCATGCGACCATTCTATCAATTCGTCAATCCAATTTTTAGAGAAAATCAAAAACATTCAAGTAGAAGACAATGAAATAATGGTGTCCTTTGATGTCACAGCATTATATACTTCAATTAGTCCAAAACTAGCAATAGAAACCATGCAACAATTACTCTATAGTGATGAAAACACAAAAACGCAATTATCAACTTGGATAGAACTCATAAAATTATGCCTTACAACATACTTCCAGTTCAATACTCAAATATATGAACAAATAAAAGGAACACCAATGGGATCGCCCATATCAGGATTAATAGCTGAAGCCGTTATGCAAAGATTAGAATTAATAGCTCTACCTATAATTAAACCGAAAATCTGGATACGTTACGTTGATGATACATTTGTAATAATTAAGAGAAATGATTTAGAATATACTCACAAATTAATAAACAACATATTTGAAGACATCAAATTCACGAGAGAAGAAGAATTAGATAACAAAATCCCATTTTTAGATGTCTTAATCAGGAGAACCAACACAGGAGATTTAGAGACACAAGTTTATAGAAAATCAACGCACACAGATCAAATACTCAACTATTCTAGCAATAATCCAGTTACTCACAAACGAAACTGTGTGCAGACATTGTTTAAAAGAGTTCAGACACATTGCAGCACTCCAGAGCTGAAAAGAATGGAAGAAAAGTACCTACAAACGGTCTTCAAAAAGAATGGTTATCCACAAAATTTCATCAAAAAGTGTTTAAAGTCGAGTCAGAACACCAACAAGAAACCATCATCTAAGACCACAAGGAAATTCATTCTACCATACATGAGGAACATCTCTGAAATAACAGCTAGAGTACTGAAACCGTTTGATATAGATATAGCACACAAGCCAGTCAAATCGCTTAATTCGATATTATGCAAACCGAAAGATCCAACAGAAAAAGGGGATAAAATAAATACCATCTACAAAATAAATTGTATGAACTGTAACAAGCATTATATCGGCCAAAGTGGGCGTCCCCTTCGAATCAGAATCCAAGAACATAAATCAGCCGTGAAAAGACATGATATGAATTCTTTAGTATCAATGCATGCAGACAACTATGGTCATCAGTTTGATTGGGATCATGTCAAAATCTTAAACAGAGGAAACACGAAAAGTGCCAGAGAATTCCTAGAGGCCTGGTACTCAAGCGAAAATGCGATTAACAAACACGTTAATATAGATGAAGTATACCAATTAATAAAAAGTAAATCAGGTGACCAAAAAGTTTAAAATCCTAGTCAATAGAAAGTGGTCAATACATATGTGAAGATAGTAACCAGGAGACGCAATTACATCATGCATGAGAAAATTTAAATCACTTCACTTCGTGATAAATATGGCGCTGAAGATGTTGTCCGGAAGGACGACGAAAGCTTCGCGATTAAACCAACCAGCTCAGAGAACGCTTTTAATTGTAAATCATCCACCTGAGCTACAAATCTTCTCTATTATTTCAATATTTAGTCTTTTTTCAGAGCGTTGGATTGTCACATTATAACAGTTGAAGGAGCCTATTGGAATATTTGCTTATTAAAAATGCATTTTGTTTCGATCTGGCACACTAAGTTCATTATTTGATTACCATTGTTATTAATTTTGAATTATAAAACTACATTTCTTACCTTCAGACCAACATTTAGAGTTGCCAGCACCGAAAAAGCCATCACTGCAAAGACAGCATGCGGAGTTATTAACTCGATAGCATTCTGTGTTGTGACTACTACACTCAGTTACAGCATCACATTTGACCAAATCACTTGAGTTGATTTCTTCTCGACGTCGATATTCAACTGTATTATTGTTATCATCTTCATCCTCATCATCTGTTAAAGGATGAATTGTAACTGGTACGATGACAGCTGTATTAAAGCAGTGTTGAGTATAAAAAGAGAAAATAGTAGAATTAGTTTCACTGCCAGAAAGTGACTTAAAAATGTTTCATGTAATCAGAGGTTGCTAAACCACTGGTTAATATATATTAAACATTCACAGTCAAATGTTCTTACAATCTTTTATTATTAAACTTTTGAATAAATTTCTGAAAAATCACACTTGAGAGTTCAGTTGATAAAATTATACATTTTATGACGTAAAAACGAATATTTTCTCTATTTCACTTAGTAGTTAGACAGGTGAATGCTGGTCTTGTGTCCGCCCTACACCTTTTGAATCCAGACATGATCAGCTTTTTATTTTATTTATAGTCATCAACCTGTTACTTAAGCCATGTGCTTATTCTGTGTGCGAGTGTAAAAATAAGCCACACTACAACCTGAAAATTATGTTTAAGAAACCTATCTGACTAAAACAATTAAGCCACTAGTTTATGAAAAAATATTTGTTTGGATAAACTCTCCTTCAGGTTTCACTGTTATATGCCCATATTAGTTAAGGAATAATTGTAAATGACAGCACTAGTGCCTTTGTGATACTGTTATTAGGTTGCAGCAGTATAGTAATAGTGATCATGATCACTTTTAAAATTTAATTTAAATTGGCCTGGTTTTAAACTTCATATGAATGAATTATAATATTAAAAAGAGTTTAGATAATCGTATGTGAGTGAGTTTATGAGTGAATAACCAAGGATAAGAAGAATTTACATGTGATGTAAATTAATAACACATTAAGTCAGGTTTTGGTGAGAGCTGGCTGTTAGCCAAAATTGGTGGACAGTAATTTACATCAATGTTAATGTCCCCAACATTGGTTGTGAGATAAATGAGAACAAAGGCTTTGCGTAGGTGGATACAGTTAACACAGAGATGATTCGACATTCAAGAAACATCCACAAAGAGATGCAAGGTTAACTTTCTGTAAGAAACAACCAATCATAGGACCGTGTTTTTCTGCTAACAATAATCTACAATAATGTACATTAAAATCTATAAATATGTGTTGATTTCCCTAATAAACGATCTGTTGCCTGACTCTTGCCTTCTGTTATTACAAGGTAAGTGGTTTCTTTCCGTAACTTCTCTTCAAAGCTCAACAGTTATTTAGGGGTTTACATGTACAGTGTTAATCGATAACAAAGGACAGAGGTTACTGTCAGTAAGAAAAATAGAACAAAGTGTATCAAAAAATAACCATGTGTGAAAAATAGCAGATAGTCTTGCGAAATTAAAACAGATGATAACTAACTAGTTTGGTGATAGATAGTCACTTCGAAATAAGTGATAAAAATAGACAACTAAGAAATGAAAGTAAGTTGTAAAGAATGAGAGTAATGTAAAACACATCCCATAAACTTTATTACTCAAGAAGTCAGAAAGAGGTAACTGATACTGACACCATGGTTACAATTTTCTGAACACGAAATTCACATTCTCAGAGCTCTAGTAAATCATAGAGATAAAATATTAATTTTCTAATAAACTATTTTTGGGGGACCGTCTTTTAATTTTGTCAGAATAAAGTCAGACAAATTAGCTTCGAATCATATCGACAGGTAATGCTGGGTCCCATAGTGTAAATCATATCATTATATAACCTGAAGAAGCTGTCGGAAGGAATGCTCTTTTATCCCTAATCAGGGGCTGAATATATTATGGGTATTACGAAACGATTGAAATACTAACATCCATTCACAAAATTCAGGTATTTGTAATGCATTGAAGTGTACATAGAACACACTGATTTCTTAAATGCTTTATAGACTGATAATTTGTGCAAAACTCTGCAGAAATATTAAGTATTCTGTTTTAAGTATTTAATTTAGGGTACTAGTCAGTGATTTTTATTTTTCATAGGTTCTATGCATATTATAAACCAGAAAGCATTGGACAGATTCATGTAACTAGTACAAGAACTTGAACTTCTTATGAGCTTGTTTTATGCATGAACTGGTGCGGTGAGATTTTTAAATCAACCGATCAACAATCGTTATCTCATTTCACTCAGCATTAATTCTTTTTCATACATTTATTCTGATTAATAATATTGAGCTTGATCTGTCACTAATTGCTAATAGTCTACTATATAGTTTCAGTTTAAAAAACCATAGAGATCGTACAACTTTGTATTCTGAATACAACATAAATGATGGCGACAGGTTGCTGAGTAGTTTAAGTAGAATATTTTTAATTCCACAAAAATTTTGAACTGTTCTGTTATCTAGATCGTTTTTCAAAAGCCTATTTATCGAAAATGTATGGAAATGTTCTAGCTGACTGAAACGTTCTTTAAAATTAAATTCCATCTATTCACTTTAAAAATCAAAGTCATGAATTTCTAAGAAACTGAAAAAAATGAGCACGGTTTGTTTACTCACGTTCGTCTACTTCTCGTCTTTGTTCATCTCCATCATATTTACCTAGGGCATGGTATGTCTGTGTTGTGATAGTTTCTGGTGGCATATAATCGTCATTCGTAGATACATACTGATCATTTTCATTATAGATACTGCTTTCAGTTTGATTTTCTGTATAAATATTTATTTCCATGTCAGAAACTGGATCAACGCCGGATGATTCACTCTCCTCTTGAAGTATACTCCATGTAGCTTTCGGTGAATCTGGAGATATTTCATAGGAATGCTCATCGGTTGAAATGTTTGAATAATAACCTCCAAAATCTCTTGGACCTCTTCTAAAGCTAGGTGTTCTAGTGAGCATCTCTTCCGTATTATTTTCGAAGTCAAAATTCTTGATAAGAATAGTTTCGGAATTTGTATGATTACTTAAATCTACTGGAAGCTGTGAATTATTGCATTCTCTATTTACTGAGATAATCATTTCATTGGCAGCTTCATTTAACTTCCACACATTTGTTTTTGCGATACTCTCTGATTTGTACAAAGGAACGAGCCATTCACCATGTAGAGCTACGTTTGTTTCACTTGATTTAGAAAAAAGTGAAAGGCTGGTGATTTATATACCTTGAATTAAAGTACTGAAATTTTATAGTTAACTGTAATAAAAATACTTGAAGTTAAATTCTAAGCTAATTTGGAATTTTGGAATTCTCCACTTGAGCAGTCATTTTAACGTACACCTACTCATAGATTCCTGCCGGTTATAGGTGCACACTATCATCTGGACTTCAAGAATACTGTCCTTATAGCTTATTGAATGTCTGTAAACCTTGCGTACAGTAACTGTTAGGCCTTTAAATGTGATGTTCCCATGTTTTCTACCACAGTAACAGCGTGCATGATGTCAAATATAAAAATATTTGAATGATCAGAAACATGAAGTAGGATAAACTTAAATGTTTTGCCTTGCATTTAACGGATATCCTTTGAAAGATTTTCACTCTTAAAATATTAAAGATAATTATGTAAATGGTAGTTCAGTTTAACTAATTTTATCAAAACCCAAAGACACTTGTGTTTTGTACACTTAAGGGTTTTTGTAGTTAGCGTAAACAAATGTGAGTAAATCTATTATTATATTTCCCTCAGTCTAATATATTCTTTTTCGATATTTTGGCATATTTCAATAATTTTAGTAGTTCTTCAGATATAATGCAAATGCATTTCATTAAAGCAGTGCTCATGGTGTCAGAAATGTACCTCATCTGATCACTCTATACTTTTCTTACAAGTATAGAATGGGTAATGAGTGGTGCTGAAGTGGAAATGTTGTTCACAGTAGAACTTGAATCAGCGATCGCTTGATTACCAACCTGGTTTTGTATCAGCTGACCTAGGAAACTAAGTGGCTAGTGAGGTAACTAATTTACTGCAATCATCACAGATCTTGTAGCTCAGCTGGTGGCCAGCAGAGCTAGCAGTTGCTGGCTGAAATCGTGTCGCAGCTGAGAGTTCAATCTTAATTGCAATTATTACTCATTGCATTAACAGCAGATTGCCGAACCAAGGTTATCTTAGGTAGTCGTCCTTACAGCCGATTTTAAAGAACTAAGGATTAGCCAAGTTGATTTATTCATTCCCGCCTTATGAAAATGTTGATCTTTAGTAATATTGTGGATATAAGAAGACTATTGGGATGCATAAAACAATAATTTGTAACCCCTTCAAACGAAACAACAAATAAATCACTCAAGAAAAATTCTATTTTTTCTTGTAACTTTGAATATCCTAGAGTAAACAGTGTTATATTTTCGAAAGCTAATAACGGGTCTTCAAACACCAGCCTTTCTTGGAGGAATCCGTTTTATTCGTAGTAATATAAAGTGGTGAAGAGCATAAATAATTGTTATCACTAAAAATCCACACCAGTGATAGAAATCTCTCTATTAAACTCTGATTTGATGGTAATCATATGAATTATGAAATATTTTCAGCTGTATAGTTTTCTTTTTCGAAAGTTACATGTTGCAGAACAATAACTGAAGCAATTTACAAATCTAAACTTGCATGTAATATAAGAAATACTTATTTGCTTGATGTATGAAAATTGAAAAGAACTTACTTCGACCAGATACTTGGTTCTACAGCTTGTGAACTTCTAGGCAATTGATAACCTCCCAAAGGTCTCATGAATATACCCGATTCTGGAGGTAAAGCTAAATCCTCAATGACGTCATTTTCATTCCATTCAATGTTGACATATTGCATAAATGCGTAGGAATGCGCACCATTAGAGACAATTATCATTCCATAGGTATTACTCTATTGATATAGAAATCAACATGACATTTATGATAAAAATCATTGTTATTAAATTGCAAATGCTTAAATAATCAAATGAAATTAGATTAAGTGAATTGAACGAGTACGTTGCTGAATTTTAATGATAAACAGAAAGAGTAAGAGAACTTGATCACCATTTTAGCAGCATCTGGGTGGATACATTTCATTATAGACAGAAATCAGCTAAGCGCTATTAAAATTTTTTAAGTGATAACCTTTTTCGTCATCATTTCAGACTCTTCATCTCTGCAACGTCATCGCTCTCTCTCATATATATATATATATATATATATAAGGAGTAGATAAATGGCATCGGTTAATTTCCAGGGACTAATCTACATGTATCACATACTCTTGGAGCAAGATAATAATTCATTTCATTCCGACATAGTGCCTCGGGACTTACATTTTTTTATCAAGAATTTATGGACTTGTGCTAAGTCCATTGCTCAGCACTTCGGATGTGTTACACACGCATCTCAAACATTTGTCTAATTATCTCTAATTGGCAGTAATATTGTAGCTAACGAACGTGTTTATCTTTTGTTTGATCAAATCCTTATACATCTAATATCTGCGTAAGTGACACGGATAATTCAGTTGTCTAGTAGAAGGTTGAAATTGTGGGCATTTTGTTTCGAGATATACTGTGATACACATGCATTCAGTCGAGAAACCTTGAGAAGGTGAAATTCAGATTCAGGGCACTGTTTACTGTCAAACAGGTAGTATATGAATAACTTTTATTTACTGTATAACAGTCAGATGTATAGACACTAATAAAACGTATGGGTTTCGAAATCAAGTTTGCTTTTTTTCAACGATCATACCGTTGCTGTTTTCATAAAAATATTAATTTAAAACGACTACTAACCTTTTGTTCAGTTAAGTGTATGTTTGTCATATTTTCCCATAGTATGTGTATGATATATTGAGCTTTGAGTTCGGTTTCTTCCGCGTACGACAGATGAATAAATTTCGTCAGTCGGTCAATTTGTAATCTTTCAGCGCATGACAGTTTCATTGTGGACAGTAAGTCGATTTCTCTGAAATAGGTGTAAAAAATGTTATGCTAGTCTGGAAAGGTTCGCTTCTCAATTCAAACGGCTCTCAGTCAGCTGAATAGTTCAGTAGGTTAAGTAATATATAACCTTAATTATTAACATCAAGGAAGAGGGTTATTTTTCGACGGTAGCATGAATAAAAGGAAAATATTCTTCTTAGATCAGACAGTGAAGCTTCTATAGACCCCATCAATTATTTAGGAGTTAATTTTAAATTAACGTCTTGGAGATTTGGTTTAAGAAAAATTTTTCATCAATGAAATTTCATTGAAAACGACGGTTGGGAGAAAAAAAGAGGGACGAAAGTAAATGACAGACTCTTAAAAGTATTCCAGTTTTGTTCTAAACTCCAAAGCCTAAATTAAGAGGAGCGAGATTTATATAGTAGTTATACTGAATGATAGTAAGATTTCGAAAGTAGGAATGATGCCACAGAAAGTAAAGTAAGAAAGTAAACGGCTAAATGAATACCTGACTCTACCCTATAAACGTCTAAAGCAATTCATCGCAAACACATAAAATTTAATTCATCGCTGACGTTTACAAACTTCCATTTCATTGACTCAAAATATTACACCGGGCAGTGGAATATCAGTTTATTTGAAGATCCTAAGTAATTGTCAAAATAACGCGAAGCAGTGAAGTAATTTTTCATTTCAGCCAGAATACGCGATCTTCAATAAAGAGGAAACGAATTTGACCTAAAGAGTAAGGAGTACGAACTTAGCAAAACTGACATTTGCTTATTAGTATCATCAAATGAAAGTAAAGGGATAATATATAGCCTTCTTGAATATAAAGGGTTATAATTAGAAATCGAAACCATATTCAAATCGTATGAAAAAGGAATAAAGCAAAAAAGGCTTTTTTCATGTGTTCTGCCAGCTGAACACACAGAATGAGAACAATTAATCAACCACGATTTTTATCAGTATAATCATTTTGGTTGAAATTTTCAGGGTTGAGTAGAAAGTAAACAACTAATACATAGGAACATAGAAAAATAGAACAGCTTTAGCAAGACAAATTATTTAAGAGAATAAGTGAAGTACTTGTCACAAAAAATGTTTTTCACCATCAAAGCTGTATTGAAAAACTATCTGCTGGCTTTAGACATATATACAAAAAGTGCAACAGTTAACATAAAAACCAGATAATATTTGTGAGCTGACTAGTCCTAATAACAATGTTTAATGTCCGGAATCTGAAGGCTGAAAAATAACAACCTGAATGACATCGAAAGGAAAACGTTAATCAGAGCGAACAAAGTCATGTATTATTGATATAAGTATAAAACTTGGGTACTGTGGTAAAGTATAACTCCATTATGGACAAGATTTCATTTTGATAAGTCACACACTGTTATGAGCAATAATTTATGCTCGAAACATCATCAGTAAATATTACTGTACAGCACTGTGTGATTTATCAAAATAAAATCTTATCCGTAAAGTCATATGAAGTTTCCTAAATAATCTTCACTTTATTCATATGGTATGATTTCAATAGACAGGTTAAAGTGAAGTTTCTATAAAATGCTTTCCATTGGATGGTGCGGTCACTTTATATTCAAAACTTTTGATGTTGTTGTGTTCTCTGAGCTGGAGAGTTAATTTGCGAAGCTTTCATCACCCAGCTTCGCAAATTAACTCTCCAGCTCAGAGAACACAACAACATCAAAATTATCCACCTGAGCTACAAATCTTCTCTATCATATCTATATTCAAAACTTCATGATACTGGACATATATGAGATGAATGAATCGACATATTATTTTACGCTTTACTTCTAAAATCATATGATTATTTTAAAAGGTGGGTGTAAGTGTTATTGTAACTGTCATTGAGTAATGAAGTCAAGACTCTTACTTGTGATCCTTGTACGTAACACTCAGTCACATTACGAATCTTACTGACATGTACACACGTAACTGTCTAAGTAGATTGTATCATTACTTTAATCTCATAACGGCTATTGTTTTTGACTTCTGCTAAAAAAATGGATAAACATGTGATTTGGGACAACCGTTGTTTATAACTTTCGTTTACAATCAGTAGTAACTAGTGAAAATATCCTATTCTTTCTAAGGATTCAAATCTGCATAGACTGTTATCTAGGCAGTGCTAAGATATGAATGCTGATGTGTAAAGATCCACTTTATAAGACTTATAGTCCAATTGGTTTGAATTGTGAAGACAACTAACGCTGAGAATCCGTTTAGCAATTATTCATTAGTAGGGTATTCTAAAATACCTTCATTTAAACGACGTCGTATACTGCAATATGAGGCATTTCTAATTTTTCTTTTATGTGTATTATTGACGTGATGAGTTTTTAGGCGTAGGCTGGATTAGTATTCCTTAATGCTGCAGGAGTTTCGATTACATATAAATTCACTGTAATGATTTTTCTATGAAGAAACTTCCACTGAAACACTGTAAAGAAAAACTGACACAAAAGTGAAACATTTGTCGTTTAGTTTTTCGTTAAGAAGCTGTCCATAAACAATAAAGAAAGGCTTTCTGCTATGCATTAATTATTTTTGAGCCTAGACTCATTTCATCTGCCAGAATGAATTTCAATCTGTTTACAGTGACTAATCGGACTACTTTTTTCAACTCTGTATTTAAAGCGTCTTCAACTTTCTTTGGTTTCTGTATATCTCAAAACTCATTCGGAAAACTTCCAACTTCATTTTCGCTTGTCGTCTCAAAAAGTACATTTCAGTTTACATAACTTTTTCTTCATGATTTCCTTTAGGACTTGTTTTGAAAACGAATTTGAAATGTACTGTAAATGGAGATATGAAGCAAAACAACCAAGTAAATTGTTTACGCTATTTATAACTGAGGTCACAGGAGGTTCGTTTTAGTCACTGGAATAAACAAATAGGATAAGCATCATTAATGTATGTGTAGGACTTGGGAATTGTGGTAGGAAGTAATTCCATATTAGACAAATTTATTCCAAATAACACACACACATAGGCGAAGCTTAGTGTAAATTTATAGGATAGTAAATAATAATAAGGCTTTTTAAGTTAACAAGGTGAAAAGGAACAAGTAAGGAAGAAAGAAGATTGTTAAAGTATGGAACAACGTGATAAAAAATGAAGATATGAGATGGTTATGCCTATTATGACCTTACTTTAGAACAAAGTAGGTATAAGGGATGAATGTACTATTTTGGATACATAAGTCTGGTTTATTCTTACTGATTCCTATGGATAGAAAGCTAATCGCGTACATTTAAGAAAGTAACTCTGCAAAATATTAATCAAAAACAGACAAGAGAATAGGTAGAAGTGGATGGATGGAATTGCATTCCATCATGAATGGTGGTGTTCAAATTTACAAAGAAGAAAAGAAAGTAAGAATGAAATCTGAGTCAACTTAGCAGAGACCGGTTGCACCATATTGAGACAAGATTTATTCTGGCCAGTTGGGCTTCTGTAGTATTACGAAAAGTTATCCTCCGATTGTAACTGGATTCATCTTTCAGTATTCAGAATTCAACTTCATATCAAAAATGATTTCTCCCTGCTTCAAGTTCTCTAGAAATAATCGTATATGAAGGACGTTAATTAGCCAATTAATGTATGCCAAAGATACTTGTAAAGTTGGTTACATTGATATACTTCGGGGAACATCCTAATAGCTAAGGTTATACTTTTCAAGAAAAAAAATATTAACGGTTTTTCTGAAAAATGAACTGTAGTTTACAGCAACTAAAACAAAACCCAAACTTTGAAGTAACAGCAAGACTGATAAACCAAGAATATCAAATACCATGGGTATATATTCAACTCTTACACTTAATAAATCTGGAAATTCTTTAAATTATATAAATATACATATATATTATATATGATTTACCTAACATGGATTTTCCCGCTATTCCCGTTATTTACCGAACTGAAAATGCTCAAATATCGACCATCAAAATCTTGTAAACGCTTTTTGGTAATGCTTGTATTCGTGGGGTAGTTTGATGGTAAGTTAGCCTCAGAAATACTATCCAATGCTAAGAGACCATTTTTGTAAATCTGTAAAAAATAATAGTAATAAAATAGATATATTTTTGTTTTTTCTTTCAATTATGATTAAAATGTTAGATAATACAATAAATTACTGATTTCCAATTATATAGCAGCCCTTGGAAGGCAAAGATATGTGGTACAATAGCAAAGTGATTTGCATCATATGAACTCCCGACTCCAAATTAGACTGTTGTAATTCTCCATTTTCGATGGATACTTCTCAAAACGTATATCCATTTAGTCATGGCAATGAATATTATTTATTCCTTTTGATGAAACAGTTACTCATGGATCTTGTTTATTCATGTCACCAATGAACAATAAAAACTTTGCTACTCAGTATCGACGAACTTGAAAAATCATAAAGTGGCAGTGTTTGTAGTTCTGTATTTTTCTTTGGGGTAAAGATTCCAACAATTTAAGGACGTTTTTATCTTGTTACCAGTCTATCTACCAACAATGCCATGAATATGTATCTATGTATTTAATAAACAGTATATTCACTTTTATTCGCTTTATTAAAAGATCATAAAACTGTTTCTGATGTTTTGCTGTCCTATGTATTGTAAGTCAGAAGTATAATTTCGCCAGAATGATACATATAGGGTGTTACTTAAATTTGAACCTTTGGCTGAATACTTTATTATCTGTGAATTCACTTAACTGTTCAACCACATTAGCGGGTGTAAATTATAAGACCAGTTCGGTACTGTATGCATACCAGCACTGTTAATTAATAATCTTAGTCATGTAAATGGTAACTACACTAGGTTAACTGTTTACATTTAGCTAATTTAGTGGCCTCTAAAAGCTAAGTTGTAATATTACAACAAATGTAATAAAAATTATGTTAATTCCTATGTATTTTTTTATCGAAACATTTACTAATGACAAGTAGAATAAATATTTAAGACATGGCATTCAATACATTCCTGCTGAAAAGTTCATAAACATGTGATTCTAGTGCTTGTTAATCCATAGAATGTTTTAGATTCACAACTTACATGTCTAAATTTACTATTCCTCTTTTGTCAAAAGCACAAAGTATTTCATTTGCTGCTATAGTCAACTGTCTAGGCTAATTTTCTCTATCATAACCCCAATGGTCAATGTATACAATATATTTTTGTCTATATGACTACAAAACACTTATGATAAATAGGCGAACGCGGTAACACTCACCACCTTATTTTGACAGGTGAACAGAAAGTGCGAATAAACTCAAAGTTGATTTTTAAAGAATCAGAACGGTAGCTTCTACTAGATGTAGTAGATGCATATGTAAATCGTATTGAAGATAGAATGAGGTGTTGTAATTGACTATAGAGGATTATCAAATGTCACTTTAGTGTAAAAGTGGTGAACTTTGAAATTTGTTTATTTTCGATTCAGTCATAATAAGCGTTATTTAGAATTCATGTTATTGATCACCCTATTACCATCTATACGTACTTTATCTAGTAAGACAGACTATTGAATTTCAAACGTCTGTATTTCTTGATTTCTTTGAGCTGTCAAGCTATATTCAATATTAGGAAAATGAGAATCTATGGTTCATGTGTAGAATGCTCGCCAGCTGTGCACGCCATTTCGTTTTGACTTCCGGCTGAGACACTTCTAACCCTCACCTAACTAGTGCTAGACCTGGTAAAGAGGAAGGTTATGCATGATGCTGGCATTATCACACTGTAAACACAAAACCACGACTACTAAAACTTCAAAGACTAAAGCTTGAAGTCCTGTGTCCTACTTGGAACGAATAGGAATGAGAAAAAATTTCGAAACAGGCATGCATATATGGATATTGAAGGAAATGGAGAACGCTAAATATTTTCATGTATGTAACAGTTATTTTCTACATTATAAGAATACATCAAAATACCTGGAATTATTGCATAAGTAATCAGTCCCTTTGGAAATTAGTAATGACAACAGAAACAGATTATTAGTGAATATTCAGTATTATTTTCATAATGTTTAGGTAATTTAACTGGTAACTGAATTTCCCTTAAGACACTTAAGTGTTGAAAGAAGCCTGAAACACTTCCAGGTATGTATTGATGTACTGGTTATTGATTGATAGCTTCCTAAAGATGACAAAATATATTTGATGGGAAACTGCACTTCGTCATTTAGGCAAATTAGTTTTATGCACTGTGTTAGACATAATATAAGCTTTCACATGAATATTCGTCCCATAAATGGAAATATTTTGTTTATTAATTCCCTAACCACTTAGCTGTGGTGTATATTTGTAATGGCCTGCTTAAATCACTGGGCTTCCTAATTGTCCATTCTGCAAGTTAAATCGGAATTATCCTGTTTCCTTTTGTTTTAGTTGTTCAATCATTTGAATCGCAGTCTGTATTCATGTCTTTCTAAATGTGTATTTCAGATTACTGCTTTGGATTTCACGAAGAAAATGAAGGAGAAATGTCGCGGCAGGTTGAAGTATACTTTGGACAGATGAGTATCGCCACGAACGATATGTCATCAACAATTATTTTACTTGAAGATTCCGTAAATGGAGCAAATATTTTGCAATCAAACACACTAAGAACACTATACTGTGTTTAGACACATTAGCCAGAATGAAGCGAATGTTTACATTTCTCTGATTCTTTCCTTTTTTTCATAAAAGAAATTCACATCACTTAGTTCAGTTCACTGTATTAGTGTCACTGTAAGTTGAACAACAAATCAGTACTAAATTATGTAGCTTTTCATTATGTAGCTTTCTTTCAAACCCAATCAAACTATTGGCTATTTTTGTTTATTTGGAAAATTAACCATTTAGTATGAAATGCCGACTTATCAAGTATTTCAACGCATGATGTCAACTGTTTAAAAGCATAATTTTAACTAGATATTTTGCACGCCATGAAGTTGTAAGAACAGACAGTAGCAGTCAGGTAATGTCACAGAATCATGTTTCATAGCGTATTGCATGAATTATTCCTTCAGTTAATATAAGATATAGAGTTCAGAATACGGTGACTTAGAACCTGTGACTACTTAGATCATTACATAAACATTGACATTCATAAATAGTTGTATCTAAAAGCTTATTTTATAGACATTTTCTTTATTACTTTCTGACTGCAGAAACCCATCTTGAATATATGATACATAATAAAAAATAGATGCCAGCTGTAATCTAACTTCCGCTAGTTATTACAAGTTTACAACTGTTACTTTTACTACTCCTTCAGAAACCTAATTGAAATGCATATAATCTCATTGTGCAGCTATCAGAAATGTGGTTCAGAATGCTGAGGAAAAATTTTGTTATTTTCTGCTTATACGAATTATTTCACGGAATATGATTTCACCTATTTATACATTCATTGAGAATTTTACTTATATATGAAGACACATTTTTGAGAAACGATGGCCAAGTTTCTACACTATATCAAATAGACTGGAAAATAGTAAACCTATAGACGCACAGAAGTGGATCTCGTAGATTTTGATTAAATCATAATCCACAGGCTTGATGAACAATTATAAGATACAATGTATATTGTGTATAATTTGTCACAGTCAGCAATTTGGTAGGAACTGTTGCAAAGGTAATTTAGAGTGCATCAAATAAACAAACGTGTTATGGATGAATCACATAAAATCGGTATACATATGTCAGTAAATATATCCCTAACTATATACAGTTTAGATCAATATGGTGTGCAAGAGCTTCATTTTACTTATAAATATTAATTTTTGTAAATGTGTTATTCACTGTTTCAAATTCACGATGTATTCATTCACTTCTTGATTATCTGACAAAAATATATACGATTAATTCGCTTTGTAGATATAAGTCGTTTTATCGTAATTTGCCTATAAATTTTAATTGTATATTTAATAATTATAAGGTGAATTTTCGATAATGTAATCTAATGAATAGTGTAATATGGATCAGTAACATTGCTTGGTCACTAAGATGTAACCAGTGTCATATGTCTAGACCTTAGTGTTAATAACTTCTGCAATGTGGTCAGTAGGCTAGGTAACTCATCACTCCACATAACTCTGGACAGCTCATCGATAAAGAGGCTTGCTTCAGAACTGGGTTGTATGAGTTCTAATCATCGAGGGGAAACCAGTCCCATCAAAAAATGCAGATGCTTACCGACAGGCTCCAACAAAAAGATTATCGGTATTAAAAAATTGCTCCTAACTACCTAACCTAGGACTAACTATGTATTTCATAGTAAATTGAAATCAAACAGTCGAATAAATAAATATCTTCCAGAGTTAATTCCTTTAACATTTATTATTTAGAGATATAGTTTGTACGTCGTCATCTCAAAAATATGAATGGTAGTTTTTACTGTTTCTGTGTAATCTATTTTACCGTAGAATCTGACTAAGGAGCAATTTTTCTAGATAATTTGATGTGTATACTTAGCTTATCAACGGATGTAAAAGCAAGTGACGTGTTCAGCTTTTTTATAATAGAAGAAGAAATTAACTCTTACTTCTTAGTATGTAACAAATTATGCAATTTTTTATTCAGCATTGAAGACCTTCTTACTTATTTAGTATTCTCATCATGCTGTGTATATTGTGCAATATTTATGAAATTTGTCTCAGTAATGTAACTTTTAAAATTTAACACTACATATTTTTTCAATAATGTAGATTCACAGACGTAGTTTTATAAACTTTTTTCCATTTGAAAGATATGGTATTTTAGTGGAGATAATTTTTGTAAACTGGTCAAAATGTTCACTTAAGGATTTCAGAGTATTCTGAAGATGACTACATTTTACAAACACAAATGAAATTTGAATTCTGAATGTATTTTTCTTCATTTCAATGATCATTTCGCTTTTCCCACAAACTCTTACTGGGTACTGAGTAATTTATGTACCTTTAGTAGACTAAGTAACATCTTAAATGATTTTACAATGAATTACGGACCTCATATACAATATATATATATATATATATATATATATATATGTGTATATATATATATAGGACGTATAGATAAAATCCAAGGAAACAGCTTTCAGTTAGCTTTGGTGAAATCGTCGAAATACTAACCAACATGATCTGGATAAATATAATGCATTGGCTTTCTAATACCACACTATTTGGATTGAATTCATCCGCAAATGGTTAACAAACTGACGTTGCTGAAGTAACTGATAGAAATTCATTACTAACTAGGACGACTACGGAACACTATTGAGACTAATTAATACAGTCTGTCTTTAGTGTTGATACTTCATAGTCAGGTACTTATATCACCATTTTATGGATGGATCAAATAAGCTGAGAATGGCGCAACTAGATCAAAGGATGAGTAATTACTTTCTTTATGATTTTCGTAACAAATCATTTCAGAAGGCATCACTTTCCTTAGATTTTGTCACTAATGTTGAATATTTGAGAGAAGTGCATCATATACTGGCTTCTAGTCCTCTTATATCATTCTGTTGTGTAAAGTTGTTAACTGAAACGACTGGTGTTGCAAACTCCTACTTTAAACCAGTTGATTGTAAGGAACTCTTGTAGATAACAGTGACTACATTTTTGATGGTAGGACTTTCTGAAATGACCTTAGGCTGGCAGACTGTGACCGGTCTTATAGGTGATGACTGTAGGTGGACTGAAAATCTTGGTCAAGCCATATTTGAACCAGTGGCCTCCAAATTACTAATCTGATACCCCGTCAGCTGACTTACAAGTTCCAACTGCTAGTCAAAGCACAATTTCACTACAATTTTTGAAGGTTTTCACTGAACCGCATGCTTTGTACATGAAGTTTTCATTCCCATTAAAGATAAAAATCAGTCCTAACTTAAATACTAAACAGTGAAGCTTAAGAAACACAACAACAAGGACAAAAACAGTATCAGAAACTAAACGAACTCGAAAGTTTACGTATTACTTATTTCATAAGTGAACGTACTAAGTGAAACCAGAAAATGATTAATTTTATTTCATTTCATGCTCTGTTTTTTAGAGTGACTTTCCCTCAAACCAAACAGATGTGAACACCTGTTATTCTTAAAGAGTTTGATTAATTTCTGTATTTGTGTTGTCTTTATTTTCTGTTGGAGACAAGAAACAATCACTCATTATTTGAAATTTGTCCAACAATTACTGATGAATGTAAAACTATAGGGATTATTTTCTGCCGACTAATTCGTAAAAAAGAATTATAATTGTAGGAGACAAACAAGTCTAATTTCCTAATGTTTAACAAAGAATATATGTTATTACCAAAGAAGGAAATTTAAGCTATGTAACATCAGATATTTGCAGACAAGATGTTTGGCGATTGCAGTGGAAAGATAACTTGGTTAGAAGTTGGATACCAGAACGCAGCGCTGAACCAGCGCCTTACATTTGTTTGTTCATGTTTGACACTTATATAGTTTGCACTAACAACTGCGCGGCAGATTTAATTCAAGACTACCCGCTCTTGTGGTGGCCATTCCACTGGTCAACAACTGGAATCGAGTTCAGTGGTTTGTGATTCGTTATATTTTACACATGTCATCTAATCTTATCTGATGGCAGATTCCTCAAGATCCTATTGACAGAAATCCAGCAGATTGATTTGCAGGCTACAGACTGTTTTGAGATTCCTTTCTTGCAAGTTTATGGGTGAAGAATATTTCTGAGTTGGAAACTAAGCCGAAAATGATGTCAAACATTTTTTTTCTGGTATCTAATGCCCTATCACGAAAACAGTAGCAGTGAAATTTCACTTTACGTGAAACAAAGTGGAATAAAGTATATCGAAGCCGAAGACTGATTTTGTGTCTAATTTGTATCTTTTCAGTAAAATTTGTTCTGTCAATAGGAGGTAGAGATGGAAAATATTGACTTAGAATAGACGCTGTTCTCCATATGAAAATGATTAGTAATATATATCCCGGTACTGGGCATTGGAGTGTTCTATTCCCACTTGTTCTACTATTTTCTTTACTTTACCATAGTTCTTTTCTTACTTATGTGTTGTATCTTTTGTTGCCTTTTGTTTGCATATATTACCAGTCATGGTTATTACGCTGCTAAATTTTCAAAGATATCATATGACCTACAGTTTTTCAAAGTATAAACAACCTTTCATATCAACGTGTAGATACAGAAAGCTGATTAGTCCCTCTAGCAGAGAATAATTCATCTTTCTGTAACAGAGATTATAAAGCAATGTTATAAGTAGGACACAGTACTACTCATTTCGCTTATAAAGTAGTCATGGCTATACTTCGTGCAATAGAAATTTCAGAGATGTCTGTGGGGTTTTAATGAACCTATTTGTTGTGATTAAATTTAATTATCAACGCATTTTTTAATGTCATCTATAAATGAATGAATAAGCCAACTATTGTCTATTAGTCCACGATTTAAGCCATCCGTTGACTTAAAAGACAGTCTAAATGTAAACGCGATTAAAATTCATTAAGAAGAGGCATATTTTGAACTTGAAAAGAGTACTAGTAAGAGGAATAGATATATCGCGTACCTAGCGTAATTCAGTCTAAATTAAATCACCTTTATGTATATATGGCATATATTACTTAATATCTCGTCAGGAAATTAAGCAAATCTCTAAAAGTCCAACTTCCGACTACTATCTTTTACTGCTCAGTCAAAGCATTTCGGTCATTTTGGGTTCTAAGACTGATGCGTGGACTATATAGGGAAAAAAGACCGCATGATATTCGTATTCCATGTTCATTATCGCATATTTAATACAGTCATGAATTTCTGCGTTTTGAGAAGCTGACTGTTGTGAATAAGTGGACCTAGATATCAGTTAGGCAGTTCTGTAGACTCATACTTTATTAGGTACCCAATATTTCGTAGAAGACAATTTCTCAGCACTGTTGCGTCCCCCTCAAAATATGAAACGGAAGTGTTAACTGAATTTCATCGTCCTTAAGAGCCACATCGTTTAAAAATGGAAGAAGATAAGTTTACTAACTGTGGCTATGGATGGACAATCTTGTATCACATTTACCGCAGCAAATTTATTGGTAAAATGAATGACACAAATAGTTCCAGTATGTTAAAACAAATATAAGAACCAGTGACTGTTATCAATCGTTTACAGAAAGCCGTTATGAAGTTTACCTCTTCAGTTTGAGTCAATTCATGCTACTGATCAGATGAAATGTATGATTCATGGAATATTATCGAATTTCAATATTCATCAAAAACGAGGTAAGATTATACGAAAAGGAAATCATCAGACCATTTTGGTTCCAAATCACTCAATATGAAATCATTTAATCCTTAATACTAATCAACAGATTGCCTTATATGTTTTAATCTTATGTGGGACTATTACACATACTTCTTCTAAACTAGTATGGTTAGTTTTTTGTATTACTTTGCGTTCCCAGTAGAACATAGGGTTTCAGGCTTTAGCTTAGAAGTTTCAGTAGCACTGGTGTTTTATTACGGGGTGAGGTTGCTAGTCTCACGCCTAACCTCCCCTCTTTGTCGGGATTGTAACGGGCTAAGGAAAGGTGTGCGCCCGCTAGGACTTGAACCCCGAACCACGTGCATGGTCGACCAGTGCTCTAATGCTGAACCACCGATACATTAGTTAATTTTGAGGTATTATTCCTTGTCTTCTACAGCAAGTCTAGAATACTGAGGAGTAGATAGATAATGAACATAATATGTGTTTTCGAGTGAAAAAAGTATATTTTTGTCTAATATAACAGTAAAATCCCTTCAAGAAACTGTTTGTTTCAGTTTTTTTCACTCTGTCTGCATTAAAAATTTTGAATGGTTTAGTAATGTCCACTTGCCTCATGATATGAATTAAAGACATCAATAGACAAATCACAATGAACAGTAAACAGACATTTGTTTCGTCAAAACCACCAAAGTATGAACATTTATGACTCCTGTCTAGAGGTCTCTCAGTAGTCATGTTATCAGATAACATCCTGAATCTTATAACTTCACTCCTTTTACTAACACATTTCTCTACACCTGAATCTTAGTATTTCACAGATATTAGATAACACTGTCCAACAGTTGTAAACGGAGGAAGGGCGAAGTTTCCTATATTATATTTTAAACTAATGCAAATGCTAATTGGTGGATGGTGACCAGTAGTGGAATCTAGGAGGTGAATTTCGTCCTATATGGGACCCGTCACTGGATGTACCTGCATTCCGCAGTGAGTGATGATGTTCCCACCGAGGCTCGAACCCAGTGCTCATAGTTTCAAACGCCAAAGCCTTACCCACTAGACCACTTGTGCCACGAGAGCCACCTCTTGTGCAAAGGGTCATATTAATTACTTAATTTAATTTCAAATTTTCCCATTGATTGACGAATCGGCCCAATCAATCGACGCGAAAATCTAAAATTGAATTAAATAATGCAAATGCTTTCCAAAAACTTTGCTTATGTTCGTCAGCTTTAGTTTATTAACAAAAATAAGAATGTTCCAAACAAAGAAATAATACCCAGAACTTACAGTAATCTTTTGAATTAATGTTTCATAAATTGGTATTGGATATTGCAATTCATATGTCAAATGATTATCGGTGAAACCCTTAGAATAATCATATGTTCTGTCATACAGATTATCATTTTGCGCTAGAAATTGAAAATGTTGATTGAGTTGAGTTGATCCATTGTTGACATAGATAAACAATATAAACAGAAGGACAGAAGTATATTTCATTTGGATTTGTTTTATTGAGAACAGCATTTTTTGTTTTTGTAGAGTGAAATTAAAACACGATAGTCCGATTACATAAATGAAGTTGTACAGATTATCATTTTAACAGTTTTCAAGGCTATCTATCTAAGTTTTATGTGCTGATATATACGTGCGTACAATGTGTGTGCATATAGTGCACAATTTGTAACCATGTTCATGTCCTTTCCTTTCAATGTAGATGTGTATGGGTATGTACAAATAGCGTATGACTGGTTGTGTGCAATAATGAAAAATGGATTTCCTATTCTGTTTTATTTCGCTTAATCATCTAGGCACACCACTAAATATAATTGGTGCATTTAATATCGTATTTTATGTAGCCTGAAAAAGGTCAAGTGTAAAACAAGGAATTTCTTATGTGTAAAAAACCAGACTTGATATCATTCACGTATACAGGGAATAGAATTACAGTGCTGAAAAGAATTTACAACTAAATTAACACTAGATTACATGACCTAGTCATTTTTATGTAAAGCTAAGACAAATTCTCAACCTTTACAGTTAATTAATACGTCTGACACAGACTGATAGTGGAACCACACTATGAGCTATCTAAAATGATTACATAACAGTGACACTACTAAGATTCAAGGTAACAACCAAAACTTTAAACTTTGAAGTTGTACAAAGTAGGCTGATGAATTATGTTAGGAATAAATTTTAAGATGATTTCTAGTTATTACCTTACATTTTGCTTCTTTCAGTTTCTTTTTAAGGTATCCAACTTAGTGGATCCCTCTCTGAATCTTTGAGGCAACAGAACAACTGTTCAATAATGGAATGTAGGTACCAGTTCAGAAAAATTGTCGATGATTAAAATTCAAAATCATGCAACTATCATGGTTTTAATTCCCATCCAACTGTTTCGGCTTAAACAATTGAATAAAGTTGTCAGCTTTAATACAGTAAGCAAGGCTCAAAGTTATGTACACGAAAAGGCTCAGTTTTAGCCAGGCAACTAGCAGAATACAGAATGACTTGTGTCTTCTTATTCACAACTTTTAACTCATGTCAATGTAATAGACAATACTTAGTAAACTTCTTATTTAGGATAATTTTGATTCATGAAAATTAAATAAACTTATAAATCTCATGAACTTGATCCAGTTGCCACCAAAGTGATGCGCAACTCAGGTCATAATCCAATGCCTTTGCAATACAAGTGCCAGCTTCTTAATTTTTACTGGAAAACATTCTCCCTTCCAATTTACTTGGCTCACTTTACATGAATACTATTTTCACCACTCTATTCTGAATATTAGGCATAGCAGTGTCATTCTTATTCGACTGAATCAAGTGAAAAGAGGAGTCTAGTACCTCATCATTTGTTTAGTTTCAGCAACTCTCCAGGTGTTATTCACTTTTATTGCTCTTGTAACGATTACTGAATCTATCCTACTATCCCCTTGCTTATAATACCCTGACGTAATAATCAAATATGGTTCAGGAAGGATGAGGCGATATGCTTTTTCAATTCGGCAGCATGATAAATCACAAGCAAGTGTACTTAATAGTCTTAAATTGAATTACAGAATCGAAATGACGTCCAGGTCAAGCTAATCTATTAGAGTGGAAACAACACACTGAATATAGACTAAGCACCAATAATTCAGAAGTCTAAATCAATTCAGTACGCCAAGGAAAGTACATTCACAATTTTCACTATGATAGGAAAAGTTACAAGCTAATTTTTCTGAAAATCCTCATATTATTAATTCGTGTATTAATTTTCTAACCTACTGTTCGCTACTCTATTTTAAATTCTTATTAGTATGGTGCGATTTCATTTTTGTTTTTATCAATGATATAAACCCACAACATTCTATTATTCTTTAAGGGTATTGATGTATTCACAGGCTACTAAATAGCTTCGACTACGACCAAATACTTTTGAGCTATAATCAGAATAGTTTATTAGCCCAGAAGACTTATAAGTGATTTAAAAATGTTACTTTTAGGTCAACAAAACAGCCTCCATTAGTTCTCAGTGAAATCTATGTCGTAATACTAGCTAAAATTCCCCCTAAACTTCTGTTGTTTTTTTAACTCAACGAAGACATAATAGAAGAAATCAACTTCTTATTGCAGATTATCTAATATTTGAATAACAATCCAGGTTTTCATACACTTAATTCCCTTGATAAATTTCGATAAAGAAAGAGAGGCCAAGTTTGCAGCGTAAAATGATATCATTCTGTTTCCCAGGTGCTCATCATCTGCAAACAGACTGAAATTACAATGGCTGTACGAAGTGACAGTAATGTACTTCAATGTTTGAATGGTAGGAGAGAAGATATAAAATTAACGCATCCGAAGTGTAAGCATTACAATTTTTAGTCTAATTTACCATCAATGCATATACCTTCGAAATAAAAAGGATGGGGGAGAAGACAGAAAACAGGAAAAATGCAATAAACAGTGTTAGGTTGTAAGTTTACATAACAACTCATCAAGGTTTTAGTTCATAAGATTCAAAACTTGCTCAGTGAGCTAGAATCATTAATATGGATGACTAATTATTGTAATCAAAATGCAGTTACCAAGGAATTGAGAGATTGATTACACTTTCTTTCTGTGTGCATAAGTTTGGTTTGAAGTGTTTTATTGTAGTTGCTTCAGCATGTCGTAGTAAATTTGCAGTCCTTTTCATGTTTAATATTCTGAAGAATTTGAAAATCTTGGCGAAATGACCCGTATACACAAGACGTCTAGCAATTTTACTTTGTGAATATCCGCTTCCCTTTAGGCATAAGTTTCTTGGGATATGCTCGGAAAACCGGATAGAAACCTTCTTTCTGTCCTTCCAGTGTAAGTTTTATAAGCACAATTGAGGGTCTTTCTTTATTGAAATCCAGGATTTTTCACAAATTTCATAATCCTATTCAATCTTCACACTGAATCAGTGTTATTTGTCTCAAAAGCATTCATCTTGAGCACATGAAATTCATCGGGTGATTCCGAATATATGTTTCCATTCTCTTGGTCTCCAAATGGAACACAGGACTTCAACAGAACATCTCCATTCCATTCTGTTATCTGCAACCCTGTTTGGCTGAACCTTCAACTGCCCGTAAGCCCTCATCTGCGCTCACGCAACCTCCTTCATGTCACCTTCGTTGGCCCCACTTACCGTTCCCCATTTGTGTTCAACTCGAGGGTATGGTAGGCGGTGTCACTCAGCGGTTTTCCCATTGTGTGTCAGATCCATTTCCATTTCCTTCAACATATTCGTTCGGCAATAGGTTCTTGGTTGGTTCATTCGCAGAGTCATTCATCGCTAATCCTTTCTGACCGTCTCATCCTTAGTATGGATCGAAGGAAATTGCCGATAAAAGTCTGAAGCCTAATGCAAATCCTTTTGGTGACATGTCGTCTCTGAACCATGTGGAAGAAGTGATTTAATATTAGTGCTGAAAATTCAGATCTTGTTCTTTATGCTGAGTACAATAAATTTGCAAAGTGACTCTAGCGTAAGGAATGTCTGTCTTGCTTTTCGGGTCCTGACTAGCTTTGACATCCTCATCCGTGCAGCCTGTATTTGGAACGATGTTACCCAAATGAGTAAATTTTTCCCACTGATAGTCATTGGTGCTTGTTGTTGTTCGTCGATAATCTTCATCACCTTCGTCTTATCTTTGCTCAGTTTAAGTCCTGTCCTTACTACTTCTTCTGCCAATTTGTTGGTTTTCGTCTGTAGGTCTTCAAGTTTGTGTGACGCTAGGCGTAAATCATCCGTAAAGTTCATTTCTACTAGCGTCTTCTCTCTGCCAACAGTCTGCTGCATGATCCAGTCCACACAACCAAAAATATTACTTGTGACAGTAGGCAGCTTTATTTACTCCTGTTTTCACTACAAATGTTCCAACGAGTTGTGGACCACTTGACATGTGGTAGTATTATATGGCTGTTAAATGGGGTTAATAAAGGTTTTGGTTACTCCGTAATGCTGAAGCAGTTTGCAAATCAATTCACGGTCGACGCTGTCGACGGCCTTTACGAAGTCGATGAAACTGAGATAGACATTTGTCTGCTATTTTATGCTCTGTCTGATAGGGACGTGTACTGTTGCAGTTTGACCCACACAAGATCTGTTTTTCTTGAAATCAACTTGTTCTGGATGGAGTTTTGCTTTCAGAGCATCTTTTAGTACCGATTGTGACTATTTACCTACAATAACTTTCAGTAATAACAATTTTCTTCCATTATGATATTTTCCAGTCTTCCCCTAAAAAGAGACCATTATTTATTCCATTGAAATGTGACAATCTTTTTAAGTAAAGTTTCATTCTCGAGAAATGCATACATATTCCTTTAGGATTCATACTTACAACATTTCCATAAAGTTGAATCCAAATGTAGATATCATTCAGTTAGATCACTGAATTGTGATCAGTTCTTAAGAAAAGTATGCTAACATTATATCTTTCTCCGGATAACTTTAAATTAAGATTTCAATGCAACTGAACTGATTAAATGTGTCTATTAAACGTTAACATGCCACTCCATTATTTCGGTAAATGAAAAGAAAAGCATGTTTGAGAGTAACTGAAACTACAGATAAGTATCTTTAATGTAAGTGTAGAACTTGGGCACCGTGGCAGAATGCAATTTCATATTAGATAAGTTTATTTTAATAATCACACAGTGATGCAGTATTAATAAATAGATGACGTTTCGAGCATAACTCGGAGATATGGAAAGTAGCAACAAACAACAAATGGAAGTCGGAAAGATAGAGAAAGAGAAAATATGTATAAGACAAATCATGAAAACATGTGACTAAATTAATATGATTATGGGCAATAATTTATGCTCGAAACGTCATCCACTTGTTAATACTGCATCAGTGTGTGATTATTCAAATAAATCTATCTAATATGGAATCACAGACAAGTATGCTATTCAGTTAACGCAATAAAGTGAATTTTTGATAGCTGTCATAAACTTAAAACAAATAATGAAGGTACTCTGTTTCTTTCGGACAAGAGGGTGCAAGAACACTATCCTGCATGGTTACGGAAAGGTGGAAGTGGAACAATAAGAAGCGCGATCATTGAACATCTGGCCGATAATGATCATCCTATCTCTAAAGCCTCCGCCTTCAAAGTCATCTACAAGGCAAAGAGTAATTTACCCAAATCCCTACGTACCTAACTCATTTGTATTGCTGAAGCTTTGGCCATCGAAACAGAAAAGCCATATATCTGTGTACAGAAAAAGTT